ATATTTTCTAAAATACTCTATTCAGTAATAATATGACATTTATTTATTTAATATTATTGTTATTATACATATATATTGTATATTTTGACTATTTAATATATAAAATTTATTATTTACAAGTTTATAAAATATTTTGAATGTATAAGATTATATGATATTTACGTACAAATTAATTGTATGTATATATAAAATTGTCATTTATCATTGTCTTGTAATTTTTTCAACAATTCATAATTTGCACATTGCGTAATAATTAACCAAGTTTAACCCATAATATTTATCTTTTACTACAATTATTAAGTGCATTAAATGTTAAAAGCTTTGATAGATAAACTTTTAATTTTTTAGTAACTTTAATCCTTATGTAACACACAAATTTTTAATGGTTAAATATTTTATTTTCGTGTTTTTATTTTTTATTTATATTTATTTATTTTTTAATTCATTTTTTTAATCTATATAATGAGTTACAGAGTATCTATTCGAATATTTAGATACATTATGTATTTCCATAATTACCAAGTGCAATAATTTAAACTATTATACATTGCTATTTTATTATCTTTTTTTTTTTGTTCATAAAATAGTATATAAGGAAAACACATATTTTAAAAATTGAATAGTTTTTTATGTACATAGATACTTTTAAGGTAAAATTTATAATTATGAATTGCATCCGACCATCAAATTTTATTTTTATTAGTATATTATTTAAAATTTTCGATAGTATTAACACTGCATATGATATATTCAATGGGATGTCCTTTTTTATAGTTAAATTGACTACATTTCAGAAAATTTTATTAATATTTTTAATTATTTATTAAGTTAGTATGATTTAAACATAGTTATTTTGATTATTATATTAAATATTATAAGTACTTCTGAATAGTGAATATAATTAATTAAATTAATATCTACAACTATACATGAAATATATTTAATCAAATTAATTTCCTTAATAATGTTTTGAATTGTGTCAATACGTTACTATTAAATTAATATAAGATCTTATTAAAAATATATCTAATAAATTTACGGTCAAAATTCAATTTAAGCCAAGTTGTAGTTAATGAGTAAAAGTTATTGAGTGTATAAAAGTTAATTATGTTTTTCTTGCATTATATTTGCTAATAAAGAAATATTAATTAAATGCCAAATATAGTCCAAAACTTTCCCGCCAAAATCATGCCAATTATGGCAATAAGGATCCGTCCATTATATAGATATAGATGTGACATGCATTGTGCATGGATGCATCGTTTTGTAAAAATCAAAAGCCTCCCGTCTTTTCTTGTCAAATTAAAATAATCAACTTTAACTTAAATTATCCCGTTACGAGACGGTTCCGTTGTCTTTTTAAACAGTAAATTACATGATAATCTACTGTTAAAAAAGACAACGGAACCATCCCGTAACGGGATGGTAGCATTCCCCTAAATTACAAATGAAGCAAGAATAGTGCAAAATTAATAACTTAAACTTTTAGATTACAATTTAGCCCAAAAATCTTGAACCGAAACTCACCATATTGTAATTATTTGAACAAAATGGGTGGAAGAATTTTCGCAAAGGATGCATGCATTGGTATATGTGAATAGTACAAAGAGATATATATATGGCAAAGGCAGTTCACGTGTGTGTGCAAATGAAATACAACCCGTGAACTTCACCACTGATTCTGATTTCAATCTCTAACTATTATAGAAAAATTCTAAGGTCCCGTTACGGGATGGTACTGTCAGTATTTCTAACCATTGGATATGCATATAAATTATCTTGTGTGGATAATCTACGATAACCAACATCAGTGGCGAAACCAGCCGGTCATCCCGGGGAGGGTCTAATTTGCCGTGGCGCACCACCCCTATTCCGGCATCCCGCGGCGCCCCACCCCCACTCCGGCATCGGAAGGGCGCTCAAAGGGTTTTTGTGGACGCTCTCAAAAATTTTCGCAGGATGTAAAAGAATACTCTAGATATTTTTCTAAAAATCAAACTAAGTCCGGAATTAAACTGGTATACTTAAACCAAATTGTTTTAACTCGAAAAATACTCGAATTTATACTAATAAAAATCTCGGACTCAATTATAATAATAATCAAGAAATTATACCTCATTTCGAATAGACGAAAAGCTGAAAAAATTGAGAAAACGAAGCCTCGAACGATCGAACTAGTCCTCAACAAATTTGCTCATTTTGATACTATTTAACGCAGAAATTCAAACTCCCATAATAAATGCTCGAAACTTCAAAAAATACGAAATTTGTCCGTATAGAATCGTGCTTGAATTGTCTACACGCTCCAACTCGATTCTCGTTAAACCGAGGTCACACGCAACCTTACGGGACCTCGCGAAAACGGCTTTTTATTCTTCTATTGTGCGCACTCGACTTCGAGCTTCTCAAAATGAATGCTCGAAACTTCAAAACGTGAAATAAATTTTACGAACGGCTTCTACTATTCTCGTGCTTTCAAGAAAGCACTCCTGCTAATTTTCAGCACGCCTAACGAGGGTCGACGGTTACCCGAAGTCTAGACATGAAAATAACAATAAAATCACCGCCGCTGCCACTTTTTTCTCAACTTCGGGCTACCCATAAATGGTCGGGACCTCAAAATCATAAATCGATGCCACCACCGCACTCTCCACTTCCCGTACTTTCATAAAAGTATTTTTCGGTAATGATCGACTACGTTTTTGAGTCCCGTCGGTACACTGCAAGTCGGCTAATTAACCAACTCAAAATATAATAAAAATAAAAAAATTATTAAATTCTGTTGCTGTTATAGTTCTCCTTGTCCCGAAACCAGGATCCCGTTTCGGGGAGAGCCCAATTTACCTTTAAAAAATATTTTCACGACAAAACCGGTGGCGCCCCTCCGACCATGTATGTACCGCATGAAACCGGGGAGGACCCAACATGCGCGCTCAAAGGAAAATCTTCTAGTTCCAGCAAAATCCTCCACCTCTAGTTTAAATTTTTTTTTTTGGAGGGGCCGGCGCCACTCCGACCCCCTTAATGGTTTCGCCACTGACCAACATTGGCGAAACCATTCCGTCAACGGCACTGTAGTAATTCCCACTATTATATGCATAAAAAAGACAAATTAAATATGCAAAAAATAAAATAAAATAAAATAAAAATAAAATAAAAAATAGTGGCATTGGTCTCAATCTTGACCACTATATCTCTTTGTCAAGGGACAAATAGAGTCATCTATCTATATATTAAAACAATAATCTTTTAAGGATTCCGTCAATTTTTTCCGCCAATATATCTATATATTATCACCCGCCAATATATTATATATAATCACCCGCCAATTTTATTAACAGTGTCCTACAAATTAGCAATTGTCTTTCCTGTTCTTTTTTTTGGTAGATAGGGTAGTCAACAACTGATTTATGGGGTAGATAGGGTAACAAATCGGCTGATTTATTGGGTAGAATTTGTTATTCTCTTTCCTGTTTTTTTGGTATCAAAATAAATATTTGTAATTATTTTTGGTATCAAAACTAATAATTTTCAAATTGTGTGTAATCAAATATTTTTAGATGGAACACCATAAATTCGGTATGATTTTATTAAATTAGACTTTTAATATTTTAGATACTTAAAACAAATTGTTTAGACATTTTATTTTACATATTCGTCTATATATATATATATATATATATATATACATACACATAATTTGATGTTAAATTTAAATATATATATAGACATGTTTTATTTACAAAATAGTCTAGAATTTTTTTTTTTTTTACATAATGTTAAATTCAAATGTTTTTAGATATGTTTTTCTTCTAAAATTATTTAGAAAAGTTGTAGGTGATTTCACATCTTTCAAAAATAATATAGAAAAATTTGAATACTATTACATATACTAATATAATATTTTAGGTGTTCTTAATATTAAACATACAAATTTTATATTCTCTTATACAAAATAATGTAAATTTTATATTCTATTATACAAAATAATTTTACATTGTTTGACCCCAAATTTTTAATTTATAATTATTAAGTATTGTTTATTTTCCTCTTTAATTTATAATTATTATTTCTACTTCCGCCATTGAATGACTCAAACTTGAGATTTATTTATAATATTGTTAATTTAATATTGTTCCCGTGCATCGCACAGGGTGTACACTAGTTACACATTTAAAAGGACAATACATTTATTAAAGTCAGTATTGTCACATATATATGTCCTAAAATTTTGCATGATGTGAAAGATTTTAATTGGCATGTATATATACTCTTTTGTACGTCTATCCGTTTGGGACAAAGGAATGAAAAGATGGTGACAATTTGTTGGAACCACTAATTGTAATCTACAATGATCAGGGAAACAAAAAATGAAAAGAAAAATCATAAAACCACCTAATTATAACTCGCCACGAAATTAGAGATGTTAATGAATCAACCAGCTTGTTGAATAATCAGCTCGTTCGACTCGAATTTGCCTAAACTCGTCCAATAGATGAGTTAAACTCGAGCTCGTTTAGCTAACGATCTTTTTTTTTTCAGATTGTTCGTGAAAATTTGAGTTCGACTCTTAAGTTTTAATGAACAAGTTTATTTCGAGCTAGCTACTTTAGTTATCGAATCCTCTATACATTACGTAATTTTTTACAATACTGCTCGTTGAAATTTGAGTTCGGCTTGTAAATCTTGATAAACAAGTTGAACACGAGCTCGTGTATTGGCTCCATTAATTAATGAGCCGAATTGGTTTTGACTCAATAAGGTTTGAATATTGATTCAATTATCAGAAGTTCGAACTCGAATTGCCTAGCTTGTTTTTTACTCTAACATTAATATATCATCCTATCCCCGTATTTCTACCTCACAAATAGCAAATTTATTCTTCCACGAACATGCACACACCGAAAATA